AAATGGTATCTCTATTTGCAACTTTTTGAGAAAGCGCCATACCGCTTTCCACAGGGGTTGCACCATTTTACACTCCCACCAGCAGTGAATAAAGGTTCCCGTTTCTCCACAACCTCGCCAGCATTTATTGCTTGCTGTTCTGTTAAATTTTGCTATTTTGACTGGGGTGAGATGATATCTCATAGTTGTTTTAGGGACATAATTGCATTTTGTTTACAAGTGAGTAAGTTACCTGAAGTAAGTGTGGTTGAGTATAGTGGAATACTTGGAGAGTACACAGTTGAGTGAGAGGGAGCAGCCCAGTGGACTGGACCAGAAGCTTTGCTTTCAAGTCAGTCTCATTTACTTCAACATAAGTTTTCCTCATCTGTAAAATTGAGATGCTGACTGCATCACAAGGTCTCACATATATGAAAAACCAAACCCACTGCCATCTAGCTGATTCTGACTCTTAGCTACTTTATAAGACGGAGTAGAAATGTCCCAAAGGGCTTACTAGGCAGCAGTCTTGACAGAAGCAGACTGTCACTTATTTCTCCCTCAGAATGATGGGGGGGAGGTGTCAAAGCATCATCTTTCACTTAGCAGCCTAGAGCTTAGATGCTTTAGCACCAGACTTAAATATGAATGATATTAGATGAGGAAAGTACTGTAGTGAAAAATTTTATATGTAACTATATGTTAAATATGGCATCGAAGTTGCATTACTGTGGCGTGTAATGTGGAGTCAGCAGTTAAATGTAAAACTTTAGAAGATAAAGTGATTTTTAATATGGTAGGGGCAGTTAAACACTCAGTTGCTTACTGAAAGATTAGATATTAAAATAAGTCAGCAAATTTGGGTTTATCTAACTCAGAAAAATGACCACTGAAAATCCACTTTTATTCTGAATCATCTTTAAGGATAATGAACGTTAAAAAAATAGGAATCAAGCTGACAGCAACTGATTTCTGCATATTCTTGTCTATATATGGATGCTTGCTAAAATACTGTTTATTTCTAGTAACTTCTCATACATACAAATACTTGTTCCTTTATGTGCACATTCTTGAACATTTACTTCATAGACATGAAGTACCTTACTTTCTAAATGTACCTTATATTTACGGAGAAAATACAGGGTGATGGGGAGAAGGAAATAGGATGTTCTTTCTGTTCTAATCTGTTAAAAGTAGAAGTGAGCTTTGTTGGGCCTGTAACCACACATAGACAATTTACAGGGAAGTGATTTTATCTTTCTCCTAAGCTGATTGTGCCAGTGATCTTGAGCTATTAAATTGAATCAAACTCACTGCCATCCTAATAATTCTGTCAGAGTAGACTGCCTCATCTTTCTCTTTGTTGGGCTAGAACTTTTTAGTTAGTGGCCAAGTACTTAATCACTGTACCCTCAAGGTTCTTACCAAATTGAGTAAGATTAAGGAGAAACATTCTCTCTGACATAGTTAAAGGGCTATAAACCATATATACCTTGTTGACTAATTCATAGTAGTTTATTATCAATATTAAAATGAATTCATTTTTATTTTGGCAATACTAAATAAAGAAGTCTTATTAAATTTTAATTGATAATAAATTACTGAAGTTTGCTTTCTGTGTGTTTATTGTCATAATTACTATTACCATGCTTTCTCTGTGTTTATTGTCATAATTACTATTACCATTTGATTTTTTAAAATTACAAATTTTTTTCTTTCTTTCTTCTGTGCATCTTAAGGCTGGTTTTAAGGGGTGTGGCAGGTTTTGGACTCGATGAGTTTCCACCGAAATGTCGGAGAAGTCAGGCCAGAGCACAAAAGCAAAGGATGGGAAAAAGTATGCAACACTCAGTTTATTTAATACTTACAAGGGTAAATCATTAGAAACTCAGAAAACCACAGGTGAGTCAAATCAAGTTGACATACTTTTAATCATTTTTATGCTTTTCACTTTATAATTTTTATAGTTTGTTCATCAAAGATGTTGCTCTTATTGGCGTCTTACTTTCTCCCCC